GAGCCTACGGGGCCGATCAAGGCACCTCGCACCTACCCAGGGCCTGGCAGCCCTGCGAACCGCGTCCTCGCTAGAGTGCACTCGCAACCGCGTCGGCGGCTGCGTCTCTCCTACGTTCTTTTCCACCATGATTTCTTAATTTCAAGGCTGTTCGCTCTTCTTACCGATTGTTATTCGCCGCGGCAGCAGGCCAAAGCAGGCGAAGCGGCGCAGCTTGCTTCCAATTTACTAACCGTCGAGGACATTGGTCGCGCGGACCTCTTCGGCTTGCAGAGGAGGCTGGAGATCGAGGTCGAGGCGCGTGGCGCCGCGAGTGCAGTTGTCGGCGGCGGATACGAGCACGCGGAACGCTCGAATTCTGAACGCGGCGGTGGCGTATCGGATCGGCTACGGATCGAGAAAAGGTGCTGCGAGCAGAACAAGGTGACAAGGGGGGAGGATAAGTGGTGGTGGGAAAAAGTGGTGCCGCAGAAGAGAGCAGTGGTTTCGGCCGGGCCAGAAGATCGTGCGGAGCCCAGGAAGGGCTCCTTAGGAAGGAGCGAGACTGGCGAGCGCAATGTGGCAAAGCGGCGGCATGGGCGCCCATGCGGCCAACAATCCATGGATGAAATTAATGGGCATTGTCCACAAGGAGAGGAGGCATCACGATTCGGGCTCTGCCGCTGCCGCCGCTTCCGGTGTTCAGGGCTCTGCGACTACTGGCAGCAACGACCGGACGCTCAATCAGTGAGTCATACCACTGCTACGCTTTTCTTTCTTCTTCTATCTTTTTCTTACCTCTTTTAGTTTCCTTTTTATAGAGCAAGTTTTTAGCGCGCGCGATCAACTTTACGCCGTAGAACCGACTCTAGTTTACGACCGAATGGAGCGGGCTTTCGCCCGAGGTAGTTCGTATTCAACGAGAGTCCAGCATACTTTTTCAACGGAGAGTACTCGAATGCGCTGCGTTTGTTGGTTTACTCCGCTTTACGAGTTCGAATTCAACAGCCGTTTTACTTCCGCACAAGCGCGACCATGTGGCGCTAATCATTTTTATAAGGAAGAAGGGAAATCGCGTTTTCCAAATTAGCCATCGTAGTTTCCAGGCCGTTCTCCCCTCAAAGGTTTTAAGCGAGAATCGAAATTACGTGGAAAATCGCGGTGATAGCTTTCACGGCTAGAAGAATACCTCGACGTTTCTTACTATCAGGCGATGATTAATCGAAAGCAAATGCGGATAATTTAACATTAGTTTTCCACTCGTTTAACTGGCCTCTTTTTATCTCCTCTCGCGGGGATTGCACAGCCTGTCGCGGCAATTTAATAAATTACAGCTCAATCGCGATATCAGCATCTGCTACGGGATCGAGCTTCTCTCACCCTCTGCTTCTTTCGTCGATACAGCCGCGCGCAATGTTCGATTCAAAGAAACCAGCATCCTGCTACGTGTTTCGTCCTTGTTCAAGAGAATCGTCTTTAGACGACGATCTCGAGCAAATCTCTCTTCCGTTTGCTCACACGCGTTCGTAATATCGATTGCACGTTTGGTCGCTGGCTACCGAGCTTGGTCCAGCCGTGTAATGAAACCGTCAAGTGAAAAAGAGCACTCGAGAGGGTAAAGCACTGCTTTTCGCGTTGACGAAGAGTTCTATGCACGTAGCTTATCGGCGGTAGCCTGCCGCGTTGATCGCACGGAAATATTTCTCGTGGTCTGACATCGGACAGCAGATTAAAGGTGAATCGCGCAGGGAAGGGGTGGCGAAAGATATCTCCGATATCGGAAGCGTCTCGAACAAAGCTGATAACCGTGTACAATGGCTTTGGCTTTATTTGCCCGAGCGACAAAACTCCTGCAGGATCTTTTGATGGTTCCACGTCCTCTGCCTCGATACGCCCATCGGGGCATTGTCGAATTTTGAAAAATCCGCGGACAAGCATCGGCCTCTTTGTTTCTCTTTCGCCTGGTTTTCAACGATGCCGAGTGTTTTCCTCGGCACCGCTCTAACAATGCCACGTCGCTTGCTGCTCCACCACTCTCGCAACCGCTGCTGCATACAAACGCAGCCCGTAAACGTCGTATCGTGGCGCAGCGAGTCCGCGTGCCGGAGCGAGTGTTGCTACGATTAAAAACCACCCCTACGCTTTTTCGCTTTTCTTTTCTTCTTTCTATTCGTCTGTTTTTCGTTCTCCAAGGGTTTAGGTTGCCACCAAAGCAAACAACAAGCAAGGGGTACGTGGGAGGGAAAGGGACACAGGCATCGCTCCTCCGCCATTCACAATGCTTCCTCCCCTTTTTCCATTCAGCTCCATGCGCCAGACCTGCTTGTTTTCTGATAAATACTTTCTCTTTGAATTTCGAGCCTGTTATTCCGACTTCGTCGCTCTGCGACCGATCTTTCCATTCGATCGTCCACGCCGATCGTATTCGCAGAGGCCGTCTACCGAGTCGTAGCCAAAAATTTCCCTCGCGTTCCGCATTGGCTCGTCTTCCAACCTGAACGTCCTTTGGAAAGACTAATCCATTGTTAGCACGCGACCTTCTTCTCGCGGATCTCGATGCTCCTTAACATTAGAACTACCGACAGTTACCACGAAGCTATTTCTACCAAAACCAGAGAAAATGACTGGTTTTTAAAAAATACGTAATAATAGAATATTTTTATGTTTATTGATTTACTACTTTCTTAAAAAAGCAATTTTTCATTTCAATTCAGTATATTTTTCGTATTATTAATCCATCTGGGACCATAATCCCTAAACAAGTGTTGACACATTTATAAAATTGTAGAACCAGTCATTTTGACCGGTGTGGTATTTCTAGTGTTAGCATCCAACGATCCAGCGATCGATCCGGAATTTTCCTGATAACTGATATCGAATGATGCGCGGTAAAAATTTGAAAAACGTGTGGCAAATTGTAGAAAAACCCTTTTACACTTTAACAAGTACCAGTCATTTTGACTGGTATTGGTATAAATAGCCTCTACACAAAATTATTTTCAGTTTGAATACACAAAAATGAAAATAAAATTCATTGTATTATTTTTTTTAGTTATCGTTGCGAAAGTCATTGCACCATTGCGGAAAAAAACATAACATGAAGTAGGAATTTTAAAATAAAATTGTAAAACCAGTCAATTTCACTGGTGTGATAGTTCTGGTGTTAAACGCGGAGAAATACCAACGAGGTGTAACAGGTTCGCTTGGTCTAGAGTTTCGAAGAAATGGCAATTTTCCGCACGATAGATTAGAATTCTAATATTTTTTTCTAATAATAATTCTTCAAGTTGGTTGTCGTTAACCGGTTCGAGTAGCTTCTCGCATTTTACGATATACAAATCTTGGCTGTTTTCGTTTAGCACCTGTTTCGTGAGGATGCTAAGGTACGCTCGGTAAACTCATTCCGGACGGGCCATTAAAGGATAGCTAATTTCCTTTTTCGAATTTGCTGCAAGTGGCAGCTGCGTTTCCTATGCAAATTCCACCCTGCACATCCGCTACGCTCTGGCTAATTTTTCTAGTACTTTGTTCTGGAAATATTTATCAAATTTCGCTTAGAAGAATATTTCGTTTATTTCACGATACTACGCGAACTATATTTCGATAAAATGGGAAATATGTTCTCCAGTTGCCTACTTTAATTAGGAATTCCCGATTAGTATGATCTTCCGGAAGAAGCAATATCGCTTTAAAGAAGAAGTAACCGTAGCTTCGCTATCCTCTTTCCCGTTTCCGTACGACCTTCCTCTCTCGCCTTACTGTCCGTATCGTTAGCCAAGTCGAGTACTGCGGTCAATTCTCTTCGCGAATTCCTTTTATCACGTATTTATTATTAAAAGGAGCTTGAAAATTGCAGTTTCTTCGATCCACCGATTCCCACGCGTTCCTACAGAAACTTGATTTTTCACTCTCAATGCAGTTGAGAATATCTTCTCCCTGCGGATAATTCAATACGCGTCGAGTATCGAATTATACATTCGCCGATTCGATGCGAACTAACACGTGGTGATTTTTATGCTATCGTATTGTAACACGTCAGTACGCCCTATCCATCGTTACCCGTAATTCTCTGAGTGCAATTATTCGTGCATTTACTTTGCATTGATACGTAGCGGCCAATTGCCTTAGGAAAAATTTCAAGTTGAAACGGAAAACTCAAAAACTGACAAAGATCCATATTATTGTGCTTTTTAATACTGACGTTGTTTTCAGTTACAAGACTGTTATTGCTGTTTCTTGTAATCGTCGTCTTAAGGTTTTATCTCGTAACAGAGAGGGAGAGAGAGATAGAGAGAAAATGTGTGGATGAATGTATAATAGAAAAATATATTTGAGCAAGTTTAAGTATAAGTACAATGTGTATGCTAGTCCAGATCGTAGGCTGGCAGCGTTACTTTACGAAAGAGCTTCGAAGTCATGGGTCTATGGTTATCCATAGTTATCCATGGTTATCATCTGTGCAACGCGTGTTCCTAAAAAACTATGAGGCTGAGAGGCCCTTCAAATTGATTTATCGCTAAACAATTTTCAATGGCTTCGAGGACTAAGAAAACTAAACATTAGAAAAGATTTTTTTTTATTATTTAATTTGTACTTTACAATTTGTCCAGCTGGACATTCGGTAAATTTGGATTAAAAAAGGTATGGAGTTTTCCATTTCAACTCTTTAACTACAGTTATACAGGAAGGTTAACTTCTTGTGGTAACATCCGTTGATAGAAATGTATGAACGTGCTTCCTATGATATTCTTTTGGTATTGTAGCTACGTTCGAAATCGGCATACATTATCTCTCTACATATACTTGTCTCAATATATCTTGTTATTACAAATTCATCCACTCGTTCCTTTATCAAACAAGGCTACGCGTTAACCACCTTAGATAATATTAATCTACGCGAAACTCTCTGTTGAGAATTGTGGATCTTAATTGCCGAAATAAAAGTAAAGGAACGCTAAGGTTACACTTAGGATTCATATTAAAATAGTTATAGATTTATTTAATAAACGATTTCCAAGATCTTCGTCGATGTAAATTTGTACGCGTCTCAGCTCTTTCTTTGTCTCGCCATCTTCCATACAACACCGCCAATGGAACAGTCATATTCATCTGTTTTTCGAGACGTCGCGCACACACATACTTCCGCACACTCATATTCACATACGCGCGTCGCTACTACGCGGCCAAACTAGTCTAGTACACGAAATTATACATATTTCAATACTCTCCTCTTCCTTTCTCACTGTCTTTTGATTTAAGAAACCATCGTTCTATCACGAGTGCATTGTCGTACACGTCGTATGGAACAGTATATTACTTTTTCACGTTTGGACAATGAACGTAATTAATAATTCGAGAAATGTTCGAACATGATTTATCCTGGTCAAATGACTCGATCAATGAATTAGGTTAAGGGGGAAGAGCGAGCCTGGCGCCCTCCTTGCATCTTCGACTGTTATTTTGATCCGTCTGTTAATTACAAACTCGATATTCCTTATTGGAATTCGATATCGACTGGCAAATTTTGTTTACTAAAGTATTTGATACGCACGCCAACACCGACATAAGCAATTTCGTTTTATAACGATGGAATGTTCGTATGAGAGGCGACGCGTAAATACACGTTTGATGCAGCCGGGTTTATACAGTTCTATTCGACCAATTACACGTTCCCGATATCGTGTGCCGACGCAGAGTAAAATCGTCTGGAAATAATTGTCGCGACCCGATATCACGATGAATCGAGC